TGCCTACAAGGTCTTGCGCTATTATGAGAGCGAAGGACGAAACAAGACCAAACCGAAAGTAAGGATTGCAAATGAAGAGGATCCCACGACGAACCGGTCAGAAGAGGAGGCAGGGTTACCAGGATCCTCTTCCGGGTGACAACGCGCCACAATAATTGTTGTTCATGATCCCCTGCTCCACTGACAGCTAATTAGCGTACACCACTATAATGACCCCCGACTTCACTGATAGCTAATTGCCTCCCTCCCCCATCCCTTTGATAGCTGCTTTTAACCCCCTTGACAACCTGATAAATTCTGACAGTTGATTGGTCTATGACCACTATAATTACCATCTTTTTGGTTGCTACTTCTCGCCTCTGACGATGAGCTACATTAAGAGTTCGAAAGCCCAGGATAATAAATCAATTGATCTTTATCCATACATATTTTAAGCACTTATCTCCATCCGCTTCTGGATAAAGTTGCGAGGGGTCCCACTAAGCAGCGCCCATTCCCCACCCTCCCAGCATTTCCTGCGTGCTTTATAGGAGATATTCCAATTTAGAAGCTGTTGCTGTTGAAAACTTAATCGCTAACTGTGTGGAAGTCAATCACTGAACGCGTGTGAAGTTATGATACTATTAGTGGGTATGATGGGTTCCCTGCAATGGGCCCTGTAGAAGATGCACTCGACTAATACAATGGCCAGTTCAGGCCAGGACAGGCAGTACTTGGAATGCAATGGCACTACTAGGTGTAGCCTAACCCCGCGCCAACCACCTTAGACCGACTCTGCCTTGACCTCAGGCCCAAATGAACGAGAAAGAAGAGGAATGTGGTAGATGCAGTGCAGGTGTACTAGTACTATAATTAGCTCTCTGTGCGTCCAGCTTGCTGAATGGGGCGCACACAGGGGCAAAAGCGATGACAGATGAGGATATACAATTCAGGCCGATTCTCTCTTAAGACTGACTCATATATCCTGAACTTACGGCCAGTAGGCGGCTTCTCCCCTTCGTCGAAAACACAGGTATCCAGCGTCTCAGGCCTGAATTCTTATAGGACTCCTGACCTCCTAACGTGGAAAAGCGGAGATTTCTACTTCGGGCTGCCGTATATTGTCGAGACTATGGCCTAAGTCAGGACTACTGAGGTGAGGTGAGGGTCATATTTATATTCTATATATAAGGTCATACTTTGCAACTGAATAGGTGATTGAGTAGGATGCCTTCGTACGTAACGGCACGTTTTAAAAAGCGGCTGCCTTAAATTAAGAAAAAAAGCAAGAGAAGAAAAGGTTACAAACCGTGCGATCCATTCCGGTGCATTCAGAATTGTACACAACAAGCCGACACTTGCCGTCACTTTTTAAAGCAACCAAGCAGGGCTGTGTGCGCAAGGTTGTCGCTGGCAACTGCAAGGTGAGCCTAGGGATAAAAACGCTAGTGGTTTTAAATGACGTCCATTTGAAAGAACTAGCAAACTAATATCGAAGATTTTGGTAGGTTTTTTTACTTTCCAAAATCTTATTGAAATCAGGCTAAATACAGGCATACAAGTTATAAGAAATAGAGCAGGCTCTTTAGAAAGAACACAAATTTCTGAGACTGGTCCTCCAGCTGGTTGTTAGACTTATGGTCAGTGAACAAAATGAAACTTACTCTATTTCTTATTTATAAATACCCTATTAACAGACTATCTTTTAAGGCAACGTCTTTGAACAGTGACCATTACCGTGAAAACGCAAAGCAAGATTTAAAATTCT